CCGGTCGGACTCCAGCAGAGGCCTGCGGGCCGCCCCGGCCGGGGGCCCCGGGACCTCCGGGCCTGCCTCGCTCGTCTCCCAGGGGTAGGGCCTGACCCGGCCACTACCTCGTCTGCCAGCCTTGGACAAGTTACTCAGTGTCTCGGACTCTGTTTTCTTCTGCTCACTGTTAGTATCTACACAGTCTACGGTTGTCATTAGGATTAAATTGTGTGCCTGAATCATTTAACACGCGCTCACGTGCTGACACTCAGAGTGGAAGGCTACAGTGTCATCTACCACCGCGGTGTTCCGTCAGTCTCATGCTTTTATCCCTAATGAAGATGCAATTCATTTGAGGTGCTACCTTGAAACTACTGTTGATAAATATTAACGAATAGTAATGGTCTACAAGAAATTCAACTAGACAGTCTATCTATTTTTCCCCAAGCTGCAGCAGCCAATTAAAAGCACCCAGTGAAATTCTTGTGACCTAGATATAATTGTGTTCCACTCAGAAGTGAAAGTTGTTTGAATACAGTAAAATACATTCCCTTATTAAAATAAAACTCTCTTAGCAATATGTGCCTTTACCGAATTTTCACATTTAATCTACAAGGCTTGTACATAACTAATAAATGTAACGGTATATAATTAAGCATCATTGTTTTCTGACAAATTCATGTGTGCTCTTAAAAACATAAATAGCTTATTTTCCTTTTTAAAGCAACCTTTAAATACAACATTCCTCTGAATGAAGATTAATGAAGAAAACTTTCATAGCCTTAGTCATAAATGGTCAACTTGGTGACCTTCACACATGATAAAAAAGAAATCAGTGAATACTAGTGCAGGAAATTCTAAGAAGCCATCACTGTTTCTGAACCGTTCACACGTACACTTGTGTAGCTCTACATCAAGTTAAGATCCTCTCAATGTGTGCAAGCCTTCTCAACTTTCCTGACCACAATTTACAGCCCTGAAGCAAGGCAAGCAATGGTCAACAGTGCTCATTACCAAGCAGAGTGAAATTGGTTGCAAATCAATCTCAACTCTTAGAAGAAATAACTGGTAGGGTATTTCCACTGGCTGACAACAAACATATTAACCAGGACACAAACCAGGCCCTGAACCTGGGCTCTGGTCCAGTTTTACAGATAATAGCAAGTTGTCTTCGTCACTTAACCTCAGCGAGAATCAATTTTCTCACATGATTTGATAAAATAATAATATATGTTGTGAAGATCAAATGAGGTAAAAAAATGTAAATTTTGAAAACTGTAAAGCAATCTATACACATAATGTGTGGATCAGCTTGTAGAATGTTTAAATATATTTTTATTTTCCAAATATTATTTCTCAACATAAAAGTTAAAACATCCACTGGCAAAAAATTCATTAAACCCTTATAATCATTCCACTTGTAGTTTACAAATAAAAATGCTCTCTATTTTTAATAAATTGCATTTGTCAAAGGAAATGGAAACATTACTAAAAAAAAGTCATATCTCAAATATATTTAGATAATATTTTAAAGTATTTGAAAGGAAAGTATGTACAGGTTAGCTTGTAACTTTAACATGTTCATTTAAGCAGAGATCTTCTCGGGAACTTTACCTTGTTTACATTTCATGCGGCATCAAAGAAAGCAATCAGTGCGTTTTGGTCATAACTGTCCAGAATCTCCAGTAAAAGAGGTACTTTGGTTTTTACATTGGTGCCTTTGAACTTGAACTTATCTATGAAAAGATCGGTGATCATGCCTATGAAGAAAAATGTTAATTTCCTGTGATTGATTAGTTCAGATAATGATACAGTATTTAATATAAGTGAATGACTGGTTGAGAATCTATTTCTAAGCACCTGTAATTCCATTATTTATACACAAACTTAAAAGGATTGATGCTTAAAACAATATTTATTTTGGGGGGATTTTAGGGTAAGTTTCAAAATATGAATCCTCTGGCTTATAACCCTTTTAACAACTGGTTATAAGCTATTAATTCAGACAATCAACTACTGGCCAGTTTTGAACTCCTCTTGGTATATATAACATCAAAACAAGTGGTGTTTTATCCACCACGCTGACCATTTTGACATAGTGTAGAGATTCTATTAACAGGTTTACTTATACTAACATATTCCGTTTATATGCTGACCATTCTTGGGTGTTTGACTTAAGGGCAAATATTCCTAGGTTCAAAGATGTGGGCAAATTATTTCACCTTTAAGTTCTCTCATGTGTACAATGGAATAATTCAAGCTGTCAATCTATCCAAAAACCTTGATGTAAGATGAGTCTACTAACCATAGAGTCTTTCGAGATGTGCAGGCTGCTTTTTGTATTCTTCCTGTAGGTGATCTGCCTCTTCTAGAATACAGCGATATTCTGGTATCAGAAAGTTTGTATTTCCCTCATGAATCTGCAATTCCTTAAATAAAATTAAAAACAGAAGCAACTTAATATTCAAAATTCAATCCAGTGTAACTTTAAAGTCTTCACAATTTTAGAAATCCCATCACAATAAAATAAAGATCTGGAGTCCATGACATATATACTTACTTTTAAAGCATCAATTAACTGCACTTTCTTTGCCAAAAGCAACTGGTACTCCAGCTTTGGATGGATTAGCTTTAAAGTGTGTTTAACTGAAACTTCATTTATCTCTAGAAAGAGTTGAGCCAGGCACAATTAGAAAGTCAATTTGTTCAGAAACATTCTTATTATAACAACAACCAAAAAAATGATTTTTTTTTTTTTTTTACCATATGATATGTTGAGGTTAATTTTCCTTTTTGTAGCTTCTTTAGAGAGTACATCTTTTAGGATGGATATAGTAGAAATGTTGTCGGATTTAAAAACTCCTTCTCCTTTTCTATAAAATTAACATTTTTAAAAAGAACAGCTTTAGAAGGAAATATAGCCAATACATATTTTATAAGTAGTAACTAGTGTTTAGATTTCATTTGATTTTGGATGTCTTTACATAAGCATCTTAATATAAAGCATATTAAAATGTGTAACCTTTACTCTTATATTAATTCAAGTCTGAACATACTTGTGAAACTAAACAAAATTTGTTCGATATATACCTCCTAAAGATATGCCAATTTTATATGTCCTTCCTTTAAAATAACTTCATTTTCGCTAATAAATAATAACCCCTTATGTATATGAAATGCATTTAGAATTGCTTACTTACATATAAGGACATTTTTCTTTGATGGACTCATGTAAATCACAGCATTATATGCTTCATCCTTAAAAGATATCAAACCTAAGAATAGCGTCTTCTGTTCTGCGCCCAGCATCCATTGCCACTTATGGTCACAGGGCCGTTCTTTTTCTGTAGAGCAGCGGTCGCCAACCTTTTTGGCACCGGCGACCTCTGCTCCTATGAGAACCTAAAGCCTGAGGTGGAGCTGAGGCGGTGATGCTGGCGCTGGGGAGCGGCTGCAGATACAGATGAAGCTTCGCTCGCTCGCTACCACTCACCTCCTGCCATGAGGCCCAGTTCCTAATGGGACAAGGGTTGGTACTGGTCCATGGCCAAGGGTTGGGGACCCCTGCTGTAGGGAACTACTCCACTCTCTCGCCTTTCTCAATCCATGTAATTTCACTGGCACTGCTGGGGACCCCTGCTGTAGGGAACTACTCCACTCCCTCGCCCTTCTCAATCCATGTAATTTCACTGGCACTGGCCTCAACCCCATTTCTGGGCCT